AGGACGAGTGGACGTGAAGGTAAAGGCTGAGGACGAGTGGACGTGCACCTGGAGGAGGTTTTCATGTCCACAGGCTGAAAAGAAGACGGTGTCCTGCAAACTCTGTTTGACCTCTACCATGACAGCAGCTTACAAGACTCCATCCATCCATCCATCTCCATCCATCCATCCATCTCCATCCAACCATCCATCCATCCATCTCCATCCATCTCCATCCATCTCCATCCATCCATCTCCATCCAACCATCCATCCATCCATCTCCATCCATCCATCCATCCATCCATCCATCTCCATCCATCCATCCATCCATCCATCTCCATCCATCCATCCATCCAACCATCCATCCATCCATCCATCCAACCATTCATCCATCCATCTCCATCCATCCATCCATCTATCCATCCATCCATCATCTTCCGTTTGTTCCTAAGTCGGGTGTCGGGGGCAGCAGCTTGAGCAGGGAGGTCCAGACGTCTCTCTCCACAGCCTCTTCCAGCTCTTCTGGGAGGATTCCAAGGTGTTCCCAGACCAACCGAGAGACATAGTCTCTCCAATGTGTCCTGGGTCGTCCCCGGTGTCTCCTCCCAGTTGGACATACCCAAAGCACCTCCCTAGGGAGGTGTCCAGGTGGCATCCTTAGCAGATGCCCGAACCAGAGTTCATGACCAGAGGTTAGGGGAGGAACATAGACCGACCAGTAAACAGAGAGCTTTGCCTTACAGCTCTCTCTTCACCACAACGGACCGGTACAGAGTCCGCAGTACTGCAGACGCTGCACCAATCCATCTGTTCAGCATCTAATCTCAAAAACATATTGTGGTGTACGAGGTTTTACAGCTACCTGTACGATACTGATGTTTTATTGTTTGTGTGTGTGGGCTATTAGTTTGGCTAAGTATGAAAAGATCTTAGATGTTGTCGCTGCCATCGGTTTGTCTGGTGCTAAAATAAGACGGAGCTTCTGAGAAATGAGCTTTGAATGTAGCTGTTATATTTATATTTATTATATACAGTAAATCAGACTGACTTCTACTGACAACACAATAAAACATCAATTGGTTAAAAAGTAATTAATACGCTGAGTAGTTTTTGAGAAGAGTACTTTGTACTTTTACTTAAGTATTTTTATAACGCCAGTACTTTTACTTGTAATTGAGTAATGGTACTTGTACTTGAGTACAAATTTTCAGTACTCTTTCCACCTCTGGTTAAAAGTCTACTTCTGACGAGGCCTGTTGCAATAATCAATAACTCAATTAATCGCATGACAAATGAAAATTATCAACCTCGTTTTTCTTTTATCAGCTTTATCGTTTCTTCGTGTCTCTCTCTTTCTACTGAAGACACGGCTCAGCTCTGCTGCTTTTCACTGGCTCCTCCCTTTCTCTTTGAAATCTGCTTTAACGATCCAAAATCACGTTTTTGGATCGTTAAAGCAGCTACGCTAAGAAGCTAAGCTACGAGCTAAGCTACGAGCTAAGCTACGAGCTAAGCTACAAGCTAAGCTACGAGCTAAGCTAACAGGCCGACCTCGGGAAAAAACCTCCGTCTAAAAGCTCCAAAGCGCCTCCCTCCCATTTTTCTTAACGAGACATGCTGCTCGCTCCCTCACTATCCATCCTTCAGTTCAAACAGTCTCATACTGCCATCCGGTGGTCAAAAAAGCTGCTACATTTTAAACAAATTAAACATTTCTTCTTAAATTTGACAATAATTACTAATTATTACATGAAAAATGATTCAATCTGACAAGTTCACGTGTAAGGACTGAAATTATTAGAAACATTTGATACTTGGGATACAAAAACTGCAGCCCAAGTTAGAACTGAGTAAAACTCTCCAGTATTTTGTTTTAAACACCAACAAAGTTCATGCTCAATAATCCAGGTATACAACTCAACAATTTTCAGTCAGGTCATCTGGACTGTTTCTGTTTTTGTGCTGAAATGTTTCACCTTCCATCCAGAAGGCTTCATCAGTCAAAGAAACACACAACACAAAACTGATTCTTCCCCCAACAACTTACTCCAAAGTGGAACAAACCAGTTATGTTGGTGCTAAGATGGTGTCTTTGGCACGCCCCCTCCTCTGATGCCGGCCCTCTTTCTTGTCAACAGTCATGTCAAACTGACCTGACTGAAAATTGTTGCATTGTATACCTGGATTATCTTTGGCACGCCCAGACACCATCTTAGCACCAACATAACTGGTTTGTTCCACTTTGGAGTAAGCTGTTGGGGGAAGAATCAGTTTTGAGTTGTGTGTTTCCTTGACTGATGAAGCCTTCTGGATGGAAGGTGAAACATTTCAGAAAAAAAAGAAACAGTCCAGATGACCTGACTGAAAAATGTTGGTTTGTTTTAAATAGTTTTGTTGTACTAGTTTCTCTTCCTTCTGAAGATAAAGCTATGAGACTATCCATCAGAAGGATTCCCATATTTCAGTATTTCAGTTTGCTGCAGTTCTTACCAATAACATCGTTACAAAATGATGAATATTTAGGCGTTTTATTTTTAACCTCCTGAGACCCTGCGTCCTCATGTGACATCACATTCTGCCTTTGCTGTGCCTTCTCCTTCACTCTGTTCAAGTGTTTTATACTTTGTTAACCACGTTAATGTCATGCTGTAAAATTATCTCACTGTCCCCATCTGAGGCCTTTTTTTAACAGAAGAATGTCATAACCATAAACTCCCTGTTGGAAGAGGAAGCTCGATTTATGCACAGATCAGGTCCATGTAATCACAAATATCTGGGAGATGAAAAATGCATCGCAAGCCAGAGCTCAGGTCTCAGGAGGTTAAATACAAAAACAAGACAAGCTTTATTTGATTTACTTGTCATGTAAGAGTGGAAACTTTAAAACTATGTTTTGTACTCTAATTTTCAAATATGTTGGTATAAATATAAAAGCAAATGTTGACTGTTCAAAATAACTAAAATAAAAGTGGATTATGATTTTTGGAGAAAAACTAGTTTCTTAGAATATCAGTTGATTATTAAATAAGTCAAGAGATTAGTGATAATAATAATGGTTGATGGCGGCAGCTCTAATGTGAACCAAACTATAAAAGCACAGCTGCTGGTTAAAAAAGATTTAAAGGCACATCTGCAGAACACGTTCCAAACCAAAGGTGCTGCTAACAGCTGGAATTAAATACTCTGAGTATAAGACATTAATGTTTGAGGCGGCGCGGTGGATCAGTTGGTAGAGCTGTTGCCTATCAGCAAAAAGGTTGCCGGATCAAATCCTGGTCCGGGGGTCTTTCTGGGTGGAGTTTGCATGTTCTCTCCGTGCTGCGTGGGTTTTCTCCAGGTACTCCAGTTTCCTCCCACAGACCAAGAACATGCATGTTAGACTGATTGGTAACTCTGAATTGTCTCTAGATGAGAGAGAGAGAGACTGAATAGTGTTTGTCTTGTTTGTCTCTATGTGTCCCTGTGATGGACTGGAGACCTGTCCAGGTGTCCCCCGCCCCCTCGCACAGTGATGGCTGGACATGGACACCGGCGACGCCCGTGACCCAGAAAGGAAGAAGCGGGTAAAGATGATGGATGTATGTTTTGCTCCTCATAGCACTTTTGTCAGGACTCTCACCTTCAGCCGTGGGGGTCTGTGGGTTGCAGTGACAGTATCGTCTGGAGAAATGGACGAGAACCCGTTCTCTCTCCTGAGTTTCTCCCATCAGTGGAAAAGCCTTAAGGAAGTTCCTGCCACACACGAAGAATCAGATTTAATATTTGATTTCCAGGAGAACTGCCAGTGAAGCTGCTCCTCGTGCTTGGGAAACAACAACAGCCTTTAGTTTTCTTGTGTTTGGGCCTGTGGGAACACTGAGCAGTGAACTCGTCTAAAGACAGCACTGACAGCAACATGTCCGCTGCAAGACTGTGGTTTCCTGGCACACCCAAACACTAATCCAACCTAAAATAACAAAGGTATTGTGAAGGAGAGGAAAGTGTAAATACAGAAAATGTGTGTTGAGTTACCTCAGGGCTCGATCCAGAGCCAGTCCAGAGAAATCAAAGAAACTCAGGTACTCTGACGCCACCAGCTGACTGAAGTCGTTACTGCACAGACACCAAAGCAACTGAATCAGGCTGATTTGTTCCATCAAAATGTTGAGCAGATGCATGTGCTTGTCGCTCTAACATGACACCCTGAACATGTGGGTAACATATCTGTGTAGAACCAGGTGGGTGCGCCCTCACTTCTTGCCCAGGTGTCTGGCCACGTCGCAGCGCTTGAAGCCCTCCAGGTGATAGAGGCGCTTGGCCAGCCTTTTGGCGGCCTCACTGTCAGCTCGGCAGCCGTTGGCCAGAGTGTCTGTGCTTCCACGCTCCAGACGCTCCAGACTGCCCACATCACACCCCCCCGAGTCAGACAGGACGTCTGTGAGGTTGGCATCACTGAGGAGGACAGCATACGCACACGTGCACACAAACAAACACACACACAGACAAGAGCTGAGGTTAATGAATGAGACGTGCCAGTTGTTGTAAACAACAAAAATGATTAAAACTAATACTGTTTTAGAACAAATTAACCGTTTAACGACCTACTTCAAAGCAGAGAACATGAGGGTTCATCACTTGTTCGATCTACTCTAACTTGTTCTAAAATAAACTCTAATTTAATGTAGAAAGCCTCTGCCATCATTTGAATTATCACACTGCATCTTCTTTCTACTAATATCAAAGTTTTAAAAGTAATCATTTCATTTTTAAGGTGCATTCAAAGACCTTAGCTGATGTGAATCAGATCTAGAATGTCAGGAGTCACATGCAGGTCACAACAAGCAGTACCCCGAGGCCCCCGCTCCCTGAGGGGACTGAACAGTGAACGGTTGTAGTTTTTTCTGGACTGGAACTGAACAGGAAATCTTCATGTTTAGGTGCAAGAGATTAAACTGTGTAGAAGAACAGAGGTAGTTTGTGTTTGTTTTCTTGTCCAAGGCGGTGCAGTGACAGATTCTGGTGAGTGTAGGGAGCACCAGGCACAATGGCGGAGCTAGGGGGTGGCCAGTGGTGGTCTTGGCCAAAATTAGAGTTGCATTCGGGCCCAAAAAATCCGACCCGACGCAGCCCCAGCCCGTAGCCATCATTTCAGAACCCCACTGGACTCGACAAATGAACACTAACTACAGGTCCGGACCTGAAAAAACAAAACTTTTAATTAAACTTTGACTGAGTCAGTGGTCGCGTGCGGCTGAATAAAAGCAGCCGAAGATCAGAGCTGAGGGGGTGTTTGTCCTTTTGTGACCGCCAAAGTGCATTAAATCCCTGCTTCTGCCTGCATTCTGCATTATTCAGACATGGACCCTGCTCTGACATGTCTGCTTTGGGATCTCACCTGGTTGGGTCATCGGCCGCGTGCGTTTGCTGAGTGCAGTGGCTGAACGTCCATTTGGGCGATGGATCACTTCCAGGCAGTACCAGTAGTCCCATCTGAGAATTAACTTTATTTTACCTTTTTCAAGGCCGGTCAGCTCGTGGTAAAATGGCCACATCAGATGGTGAATATATGGCAAGTCATGTTGCCATATAATTTGATCGCCAGCCTTGTGCGTCTGCTGATGCAATCAAAAGCCCGACACCGACCTGGCCCGCCCATCCAGCACAGTTTTATGGCCCGGCCCCGCCCAAATTTGGGTCAGGCCGGGCCGAGCTTCAGGACCGGGTTAGACATGACAGTTCTAGCCACAATAGAAAAATCTTTGACCACCCTAAGGGTCAGCCCAACCGTGTGTATAAACTTTACTTTTAAGAAATATAAAACTATAACGTATAGTTTCTTCAAATGATTGGAGTGATTTTCTAAATAACCCAGCTCACAAAGTTTACACACATACGTATACGGAGGCAGCCATCTTAGACTTTTACATGGGCACCACATTTTCCAAAGGAACCTTTTGTACACCTGATCCAGCAACACCTTAATGAAAGTTGGAACCTTGCTTAGTTTTCAAGTGCTCGCAACATGCACGGACAGACTGCGGGCATTTCCACTTCACCCTCTTCATTCAGTGATGAGACAAAAACAGAGAGGGACAGGGAGACATGAAGATCAGAATACATCCAGAATCCTTTACTCAGCCACCATGGGTTGGACCAGTGTCACACTCCACTTGTGTTGTGGTCCAACCTCCACTGACGCCTCCCGACTGAACACTACACGCTCATGAAGCATCTTGTTGACAGGAATGTGTTCAGTCACACTGATACATAAACACAACTCCTTTAAATCACCTTCCACTACAGCAGCTGTGACCACGAGTGTATTTTCACACACACACACGCACGCACGCACGCACGCACGCACGCACGCACGCACGCACACACACACACACACACACAGAGTCAAGGTGAAAACAGCCCCAGCTCTGCTGTTGCTGGTGGTACCACTGAGTTGCTGACTTCAGCAGCTCTCATCCATTTGCCCTTGAGCATACACTCAGCATCAAAATGAACTATTAATCCACTTCACGATCCTTTTCTTTCACCAGTGTGTTTTCAAGGTGTCGGTGTGTGTTCCTGTGTGAGCATGACACAGACAAAGGGAGTAAGAACTTAATCATTCAGCCCTTTTTCAGCTCAGTAAAGAAAGGCTCAATAAAAACAGCTGAGTAAAACCAGGAACACAATTTAAAGACAAATCTCCACCAGTAAGAGCCTGCTGTAATTATAACACACTGCTCTGACATTATATTCCATCCACCCTTTTTGGGTCATGGGGTCACTGGTGCCCATGTCCAGCTATCACTGTGTGAGAGGTGGGGGACATCTGGACAGGTCTCCAGTCCATCAGGACACATAGAGACAAACGAGACAACCATTCACTCTCTCACTCACACCTAGAGACAATTTAGAGTTACCATTCAGTCTAACATGCATGTTTTTGGTCTGTGGGAGGAAACTGGAGCACCCGGAGAAAACCCACGCATGCACGGAGAGAACATGCAAACTCCACCCAGAAAGGCCCCTGGACCGGGATTTGAACCAGCAACCTTCTCACTGAGAGGCAGCAGCTCTAACAGTTGCACCACCGTGCTGCCAATTCAATTCAAAACTACTTTATTAATCCCAGAGGTAAATTAAATGTTGTAACTCATCATCCTGGTTTCATTAAAGAGTTGTTCTAGACGCTGATGCTGTGGGCAGGAAGGATCTCTTGTAGCATCTGACCTACAACAGATCTGAAGAAGCCTCTGACTGAAGACAATGTTGTATGACAGTCTGTTGTTGTATGACAGTCTGTTGTTGTATGACAGTCTGTTGT